GAGGTTGTAGCTAATAAACATAGCTGAACTGAATTTGCATTGTCTCTTGGAGTTCCTTGGGCTAGGCCTGACACTACCCCATTTACACGGTGCTGAAGCTGTCCTCCAACATCTCTCTTTCTGGTCCTTGCCCCACTTCTCTTCTTCGGGCTTAAGCCTCCTCTGCAGCCAGCTGTGGACTAGAGGTGGCACAGGGGGACCAGCAGTGACCAAGCCCTCTAACCAGTGGGCCGAGCTGGGAACCTGCTCAGCAGAAAGTGGGGAGGGCTTGTAGCTCCAACATCCTTTGCAAAGGCATACTTTTATCCAGACCTGAATCTCAGAAACTCTCTATAAGGGCAGGCAAGCTCTCCATGACAGCAATGGTCCACGGGTCACGTGCAGAGTGCTGCTTCAAATAGCCAAGCAGACCCATGTGGCTTGCAGACAAGGCTTTCGGTTCAGAAAACGTGGGTTAACAGAAGCCTTTCCGTTTTGTTTTCAGAAGAAATTCACCATCTGCTTCTCCATTCTTGTTTTCTCCCCCTGCTTCTTTTTCAGCAAATCCAACTGTGATAATATGGAATGGATTTCAACTGATACTGAACCCCTTTCCCCAGGTTCTGCCCAATAAGACCCCGAAGACGAGAATTGGCTGTTCCTCTTTTTATTGAAGTGCTTCAGGAAAAAGGACTCCGTCTCACTAAAGGGAGAGGAGCCCCAAGCAAACTTTTGCATCTATTTTTATACTTGTTAGAAAAGAAGGGAATAAACATAATTGGTTACATTGAGATAAGAAAATAGGTATCAATGGTTACAATGTTGTGCAGACGCATCTGATTCCATGTTACACATGAACATCCCATAATAAGCTTAGCATGTTCTATGTTTTCTAAAATCCTCACCTTTGGGGTGTGCATTTTGCTGTGCTAATTAAGGAAAGGTTACCTCTCCGTCAAGCCTCTAGCTTTGCCAATTAAGCGAAGGTTGCCTCTCGGTCAAACCTCCAGTTTTCTGCATCTCTAACACCTTATCTCTAACACTCCTCTTTTATCTCTCTAACATTTCTCCACCTGCCAAACCACCTGTGGTTTTTGCACGACTTACACTTACACATCTTATCTTCCGACCACAGGGTCTTCTCGCTGCTCTCAATACATACTGCATATTCACCAGCATTTCGAGGGGGGGTTGTCTAGTCACAGAAATAAATAGAGCCCCCCCTCTGTACTCTTAAGCAGGCATTTAAAACAGCTTTCACAAAGCCTTTCGTTTGATGAGGAATTGAGGCCACCTCTGGGCTAGGTGGATCGATCAATGTATTGGTTTTTTAAAGCAGGCTATATTTTCAAAGCCTTTATTGGTATGAAAAGATAAAGCAGAGGTTTTGGGCTCTGAGTAATGTTTGATTTGGGGAGCTGGAGGCAGAACTCCGGGTGGGAGGGTTCTTTCAGATGCTGTCTTCATGTTGATATAGTTTAGACCAGTGTTTCTTAAACTCCTTTATCTCAGGGCCCCTTCCCACTTTTAAAAATTATGGAAGACCTCAAAAGAGCTTTTGTTTGTATGGGCTATATTTATTGATATTTACCATATTAAAAATTAAAATTGATTGTTTGATGGGATTTTAATATTGTATTATTTGTCAACATAGGCTGGCAAATAATTTTGATTTTTGCGGACCCTTGAGAGGGTCTTGGGGGACCCCCAGGAGGGGTCCTAGGACCACACGTTAAGAAACACTGGTTTAGAGGACATTGGCTCATTTTATAGCCAAGGGATCCAGAGGCCCAGCATTAAAGAGCTAAACTGAGGCTCACAGGGTCAGAAAAGTCAAGATGGTTGTAGCTGTGAATGTGGAATCAAAACTCTGCTGCTTTTTTACATGTGTCACATGTGGTTCATTTGGTTTCGGCTTAGTGTGTTATGTGAACCCGTGTGATTGTGTGGGGGGTGAATCCTCCCCCCAGCTTCTGACCACAAACATTGCCCAGATTGTTTCAAGAGCCGGGTTTGCACAGCTCTTGAACCCTGGCTAAAAGGCTATTGAATAATTAGTAGTTCAGCATGTTGTAGGAATCCCAACATCATTTTAGCCTGTTGTGTGAACCAGGCCCATCACTTTGAGCCATCATTTAGAGTTTTTGTTTGGACGCAGTGTTTTATGTGAACACAACCATGGTATTTTGTTAATCTGGGTCAGGGTTTACCGTGTTGTGTGAACCCAGCCTGCCCACGTGTTTGCCATCTTGCAGATTTTGACTGCCCCCCACATCTCCTGCAGAGTCCCCATCTTAGCTAAGCTTTCTACTAAACTGAAATCTCTGCCTGGTATTTGTCACTTTTTGTACTCAGATCATGATCTAAACAAAAGTCTTCTCAGAGGTGAGCCGCACTGAGACTGTGGCAACCTTAGCAGCCTCTACAGATCCATTCAAAATATTATTTTAGTAGCCAAAAAACAGAATCTTAAGGGATCTCAAAATGTTATAAAACTTTGACTTTTATGTGTAGGACAAGGTTCATAGAATCCGACAGATGAAGGGGAAACTGAAGCCATCAAACCCAATCAGGTGCTTAGTAGAAATTAGCAGAAATTCTTCCTTTCCTTTCCTTTCCTTTCCTTTCCTTTCCTTTCCTTTCCTTTCCTTTCCTTTCCTT